TATATGGATATAAATTATCTGCATGTTTCTGGCATTGCAGGAGTATAGGTCGATGGTATTGGGTTCATCTGAGCACATTTCCAATGGGGTATGATTATGCATTACTTTCATTGATTTTATCTGCAATGTTTCTATTTATGGAAGGTTGTTTATGTATAGAAATAAATTTCCATTTCAATTGGGATGCACCATGTCCAAAGGAAAATGTTATGGTTATAATGTTACATGACATTGGAAGTTTACAATATGATATGTTGTTATATAATTGATTGTTTTCATTTAGGGGTCCACTTGTGAATTTTTATGTATTCACTTATTTAATATTAGTCATATTCATTAAATGTGTAAACTTACTTGCCATTGTAACCTTAGCATTGCCAATGTCCAAATGCTTTAATTATGATGATTTGATCAGACATCTTTTCATCCAACACACCCTTTGATCAACCACACATATCTTGATCAAGCACGAGATCACGTCCCATTACAAACACAATTGTTAATTGTTATTTGTGCCTTAACCAAAGGTGTGTTTCAAGTATTTTCAAAACTAAGTTTGTTTGTTCTACGCCACATTTGTGTCTTTTAAACTCAAAGCTTTTATCATTGCAGTCAACACTCAACTACGTCTTAGGCTTTCTGCATTTCATCTCTCTCTTAATTCTGTTTCTTTGCGTTACAGAAGAAATGGATGACAGATTCGGAGTACCCTCTGGACTTTTTTGATCTGGCATCGATAATTTAATTCTTATGTGATGCACAACTTTCATTGTTTTTTCCTTTTTGGTGAGGCAAACAGTGTGCTTAAAAGCAAGGCATTTACACCTGACAAAAACTAATTACTCAGGTTAGCGGAATGTCAAAGCAAGAAATTCTGGCTGAGTTTAAGAAGACAAGGGAGCACTTAGAAGAATTGAGAAGGGAGAATGAAGAATTGAGAAGGGAGAAGGAGGAGCTCAATTCTAGGGTTACTGATATAGAGACAATGATAAGGTAACATTTCTCTCTTTGGTCTCTATATATTCATCTTTTCTCTTTTTTGTTTATGGAAGGTATAGAGAAGTGTGTTCTTTCTCTAGATCTCTACATTTATATGGACCAATTGTGATGTATTATTTTTTATCATTGATCTCTCAGAGCAATGACACCAAAGAAGTGATAGAATCTGCAGGGGATGATGACCTTGGAGCCAGCGTGGCTGGTTTCACGCAGGAACCGACGCGATGGGGCAAAACATATTAATGAGTCCAGCTTACCGACTTTTACAGTAAAAGTTTTGCTAGTGCAGCAGTGGAACTTTTAATTTTCCTAATCACGTAGTTTAACTCATCATTTTTACCATTTTTACCAAGCAAGGAGTTATTGGGTGTCTATCAAGGAGTTATTTACGGATTCCCTCAGTAGCCTCATCAGTTTGATTTATGTTTTAAATTTTTACAAACATATTTAAACTTTATTATTTTCTGCTTTTAAATTTTGGAGCAATGATATTTACTAAACTTTATGCTTTTTTCTTTTTATTTTATTTTATTTTATTTTATTTTTTATAAATATTAGATGATCTGCTATACAATAAGAGTTACCTCGCTCTACCAACGAGAGGTTGGATTAAGTGGCAAGCGGTTTGTTCCAGCTTAAACAAGGTCTCGAGTTCGAAACCTTGTGTACGCAGCAGCTTTCGTTAGGAGACTCACTCACCATTCTGGTACGCTACAGCTGATCGAGTCCAGAATAGTTAGGCAAAACCTCGAATACCAGACGGAAACAAAAAAAAAAAAAAAGAGTTACCTGGCTCTTTTCCTTAATTCCTCACACTTATCTCAAGGGTATTTTTTTGAGGTCACTAACTTACAAGCTTTCTCAGTGGATACCATGAAATCTCTCTTATTTGGCCAAAATCTCACAGGCGAGGAGGCTGTAAAAACGGTAGGCATATTTTAGTTCCACATTTTAGACCCACTATAGCACAAATAAAGCATAGCGAGGAGATTTCAAGGAGAGGCAAGCTGGTCCGAAGGAGAAGGTGTTTTATCGATGTTTCCAGAATTAATCCAAATTGCGGCTCATTTGATGGACTTAGCAGTAAAGGAAAACTGAGCATGCATCTCAGTTCCATATCTTGTCCTCCTTCCATCCTCATTTTATTTCTCTTATGTACTTTGAACTCCATTATTTTATGGCAAAGGATTTGATGGAGGAGCAGCCAAGATCCAGCACAAAATGGCAACTCTAGAATTTGTGGAAGCAGCAAAGATACAAAGGACGGACAAAGCTGCCACAATTTTAGTTTATTTTCACAGTTGGTTTACATTGGATGGTACATTCTACCGAAGAAACCACTACATAGCCACAGGCTTGACCCATATGAACCATATCTGCAAGAACATACACAATTCATCCGATCAAAACGCATCTCAAACAATTGATATGGCACGAAAGAGACGATGCGAGGGCAGATGCATTCATCCCCGTGCTGTTTCAGAAATTTCTTCTATAGTTGATGACTCTTCCTCATCTCATGAGGCGCTGCTTTCATACATCCATGCTGGACTCTAGTCAACTGCTCTCCTAAAATCATAACCCTTAGAATTTACCGATGATCAAAAGAAATGAGACTAAAGTCACGAAAAAGAAACTAGAAATCAACGTGAATGCTTCATTCTGTGTAGAGGAAGAAGTTGAAGCAATTGCTGTTGTATTACTTGCTGCAGTTTTGTTGACTCTGCACATCAATTTTAGCATGCTAAATAAGGAACCAAAATAATTACAAAGAAAAGAACCCAAAAAAAAAAAAAAAAAAAACACATGCACAAAGGAAGTAATGAAAAGGAAGAAAAACTTGGAGATATGGTATATAAAAGAATTTGAACTTACCCTCCAACAGTCATATAGAGGCAATCATCATAGCCTGCCCAAAGTAGTTAGAAGTTAGCAAATTATACAAACAAGCAAATGTTGCACTAAAACAACTGGTAGCCGCGGAAATGAAACTTTTTAAAGACAAATTACAAGATTAATAATTTACAGATCACCTTGTTCAGGCACTAAGAAGCAGTGATATTAACGTGAAGGCAGTGTGCTCAATAGAACCTAATATTTAAATTTATTGAAGTTCATCTATAATCTATTTGAGCTTTTGATTGAACAAGTAACACTTTTGAGCTTAGTCTGTGTAGCGGGGAGGGGTAGGCTTTCATGAGTGATGCATTACTCGTGTAAAAAGAGAAATATCCAAGCTTAAAGACTCTGTAAAAGGAAAGGTTGGCATTGAATTTTACATACTAGGATCCTTGTTGACGATGACTCCTGTTCCTCCAAAACTGCAAGCAACATCATTAGCTCCATTTTGCTGATAGTAACTGTTGAATGCATAAGATGCATGAGAGACTAGATTATCAGGCTCAAAACA